GAGAATTTTTTTTTAGTGTAAAATTTGGTGTTATGGTTGGAGATGAAAATTTTTTTTTGACACCAAAACACTAAATTTAGTGTAGAAATTTAGTGTAATGGTTGGAGATGCCCTTATAGCTCCGTCTATCACAATCTGACACAAACGTCTAATCATTGTTTCTCAATACGCCATAGAGGTATTATGGTCATTTGGTAGTCATACAGTCTAATTAATTCAAAATCAGTCTAGATTCTTAATTATGCTACACTAACCGTCCATTTGATGGTATTCCCCTAGTTTTTTTTATCTTTATTGCATTTATCTGTTTCCTGTGTTGGCTAAAAATCATTAAAAAAGCTTTTTTACTTTACTTTTAGCACAAACATTAGATTGGACCGACGACCAAAAATAGCTAGAGAATCTAATTTTAGTAAATCATAATTAGCAGTACAACTTTTGAGAAAAAACTGTTGCCTAGTTGATATTTCCAAGTCTAAGCTAGTTCCAAGTCTGGATTGTGACCCCAAGAAGTTTCAAGCCTCGACATATGGTCGATGCGCAATATTATCAATTAACTTCTAAAATATTGAAGCTGATTACCGATAAAAAAAACAAGAGAGAAAAAATTTTAAAAAGAAATTAAGAGCTTTTTAAATATGGGTAAATGAAGAAATTCAATAGAGACATCTCTGGACTCGCTTAACCAACCCAACCTAAAGGGAGTTATTACAAAATACAACCAATGCCCAAGTATTTGAGCTTCTTGTCCCTAAAAATGAAAGATGATTATATAAATATCAAACGCGATGATTTCAATCAAATTCCCTAGAAACCTTCTAAACTGAATCGGTAGCAGAAGAAGAAGAAAACGCAGCTGGTTTTGTATACCGAATTTAATCCATCAACACTATTTAGGAAGAGGCATTATCATCATCATACACTGGCGTTCCCTCTTCTTTGGACCGGCTTGTATATCACCACAGTGACATACTTCGACCTGAACCGATGCGAGAAACCAAGTGCTACAACGGATCTTGGGGCTTCCCGGTTTTCAATATAGAGGTGGTTCAGGACGACATTCTGTGGCACGGGCGCTGATTCCGTGCTACCCGGATTGCCTAACAAAGAGTGTTGAAGGTGTGGCGGTACAGCAGGAGGATCTCTCGCCTCATCTTCAGCTGCGGAATACACATTGTTGTAACTTGAAACCGGAGATACAGGTACTTCAAATCCCTCAACCGTTGTGTCTTCCTAAGTTTGAGATGTAGATAAAAGAACGTAATTTAAGCAAAGGAGACTGGAAATTACTTGGAACAAGAAAAAGATAGCTGGCTTACATGATTATCAGGATGTTGGTTGTTCATGTTGAAACAAATATATTCTGCAATAGCGTGAGAATAAACCGTCAAAACTTATACAGTTCAAGCGTTCTTCAAACTTGAAAAATTTGTTTGAATCTTGCTGTTTGATTAACGAATTGCAGTAAAGCAGAAATGAGAAGAATGATAATTATTCTATTCTCCACGGAGATGTACACTGTTAAGAGTGCTGCTTAAGACTTTGTCTAATTCGTAATTCTAGTAAGAGAATTCTTAAGCCCATAGACAAACCTAAGGATCCAAAGACACAGACAGTTTTAAGAAGGTTGAGCCAGAGTATGCACATGACTTTCTTTGGCATATCTTTCCCGTCGCTTATTTGAAGAAAGTACTAAGCTCGACAAAAGATTCCAAGAATGAAATGAAAACATACTCATTTCCACACCACAGTAGAAATCACTTGTTGTTTTCCTTGGAAGAAATAAACTACATAGGAAACCATACTCATGGCAATGATGTCTTTGCTAGATACCATCTAAACCTATAAGAAAACCACATCGTTGAGAGAAGCTGAAGAGTTTCCTTAGATGACAAAACTAATCCATGAAGTTTTTCAGCTAACCAAATTCCATGTTCAGATCAAAAATTGAAAAGTCCTCTCATCAAAGAGATGATGTAGAATAGAAACTAGGCACCTCAAAAATTTAACAGAGCATGAGAGAATTGGGGCCTAAAGCCTAAACCCACAAATCAACTGGAATATATCAATCAATAGAGAATAAAAGGCTGTATGCACCTCTAAAGCCAATGTGATTAGCAACCAAATTAGACAAACTGGAAACGAACACAATATCAGAGGCCAAAACCTGATCTCGAGTTCAAAAAGAAAAGAAAAAGAAGAAAAATCACCTTTTGGGTAGCTAAGGCCTTTCAAAATTTGAACAAACCTGCAAAAATCATGAGTGACGACGACCCATCAAATGATAATACAAGAACACCAACCTCAGAGAAAACCCTAGAAATCAGCAGCAAAGTATGAAAACCTAAACTAATCAGACTGGGAAATTGGAAGGGTAAAGATTCGAGAATGAAAAGCAGCGAAAGAGAAAAAGGTTTCTGAAAATTTACCAAAAATATTATTTCTTGGAGAGCCCTCAGAACGATGACGAACACAAACAGCTTTTCTTTTTGCTTATTGGCTCAAACTTTGCTATCCGGGAGTAAAACCTTTTTCTTTTCTTCCAGAATAAAACCTCTGTATATTTATATTATTAGAGATTTTATGAAAATATTAATTAGTAAATTAATGTTTATTAACTTAGTCGCGATGGTCCAAGAATTCG